TTTCTTGGGGATGGTCTTGATAATTGCCTCCTATACAGTGTCACAAACCTCCATCCAAAGTTCTTCAGGACTCTGTTTGTCAGATCTAATCCCCTGAATCTATTTGTCACTCCCACTGTATAATCATAAGGGATTTGAGTCATGTCATCCTTGAATGGTTTAGTGGTTTCCCCTGCTTTCTTCAGTTTAAGTCTGAATTTGGCAAAAAGGAGTTCATGATCTAAGCCACAGTCAGCTCCTGTTCTTTTTGCTGACTAAATAGAGTTTTTCCATCTTTGGCTGCAAAGAATACAATCAATCTGATTTTGGTATTGACCATGTGGTGACATCCATGGGTAGAGTCTTATGTTGTTGGAAGAGAGTGTTTTCTCTGACCAGTGTATTCTCTTGGCAAACTCTGTTAGCCTTTGTCCTGCTTCATTTTGTACTCCAAGGCAAAACTTGCTTGTTACTCCAGGTATCTTTTGACTTCCTACTTGTGCATTCTAGTCCCCTGTGATGAAAAGCACATCTTTTTTTGGGTGTAGGTTCTGGAAGGTCTTGTAGGTATTCATAAAACCATTCAACTTCAGCTTCTTCAGCATTACTGATTGGGGTATAGACTTGGATTACTGTGATATTGAATGGCTTGCCTTGGAAATAAACAGATCATTCCATCGCTTTTGAGATTGCACCCAAGTACTGCATTTTGGATTCTTTTGTTGACTATGAGGACTACTCAAGTTTTTCTAAGGGATTCTTGCACATGGTAGTTGATATAATTGTCATCTGAATTAAATTCGCCCATTCTAGTTCATTTTAATTCACTGATTCCTAAAATGCTGATGTTTAGTCTTGCCATCTCCTGTTTAACCACTTTTAATTTGCCTTGATTCATGGACCTAACATTCCAGGTTCCTACGCAATATTGCTCGTTACAGCATCGGACCTTGCTTCTATCACCAGTCACATTCACAACTGGGTGTTGTTTTTGCTTTGGCTCCATCCCTTTATTCTTTCTGGAGTTATTTCTCCACTGATCTCTAGTAGCATATTTGGCACCTACCGACCTGGGGAGTTTCTCTTTCAGTATCCTATCATTTTGCCTTTGATTACCAACAAAACCATGACACAGAAGCACAGGATGTACCTCCAAACAATAAAACGATGGTAACATGAGCCCCACATTCTGCCCAGTGAGCTCAGTAACTTAGGACACGCTCCCTGAACACATTAAAAAACAATCATTTGCGTACCTAGCCTGACTGTGTAGGTCCAAGAAATCTTCTCTGCCCAACTGGGAGGAGAAGTTAATGATGGAAGCATGACATCTATTGAAGATAGTCAAAGAAGTTTTCCCCCCTCCCTTTTCCTTTGATTGTAGAACTGTCGTGCAGTAAGTTCTCAACCTGATACCTTTTCTCCCACCTACTTGTAGGCCTCTCAAGCGTCCTATTCTAATAAATTGCTTCTTATCTATCACTTTGCCTCTTGCCAAATTCTTTCTGTGCTGAGACATAGAGGACCAAGGGCTCGAGTCCCCTGAAATGCCATCCAATAGTTTCATCCCCATCTGAACTCTTGCAGGCTGGCTATGTGACCTGGAGTCCATCACCCAACTTTTCTGTGCCCTGGTCTGTAAGCTGGAAGGGTTAATTTTGATTTTATGTTGGATCTGTTTCTGTGACCTTTACACTCATCTTGCCACTTTTGTCACTGTAAGCATACATAAGGGCCTGCCTTATGTATGTGGCTTAGGGAGATAACCTAAGCCACTCACCTGTGAAGGACTGTTAGGAAGTAAAACTAACAAATTCCCCTGCCTGAAGCTTGCCATTCTAGGGGATATTGGCAAGGATCGAATAGTCTTTTTTACTTTGTTTCCTCACCCCTCCATCTCTGATCCATAAAAATCCTGGCAACCAAACCCCAACAAGATGGTTATTTTGAGGCACTAGCCTGCCATCTTCTCAGTCAACTGGCTCCCGTATAAAGTCTCTTCCTAGTCCCAAAGCCTCATCTCAGAATCGCTGACTTTCCATGCAGCAAGCAGAGCAAGCTTGGACTTGGTAACGGCCCCCTCTCACTCCCCACTGAGTCAGCCCCTCATTTGACCCATTCTGTCTCTGAGTCAGGAAGGCTTTTCTGGCCAGCTCCCTCTCCTCTCCAGGCTGAGGGGGCCCCCTCTTCCATGCACTTGGGCCACCTCCCAGCCTGTCTCTTCACCTGCACATGTGCACTTCCTAACTGTGTCTCACTGCCCCCCAAAAGCTCTGTGGTTCCCCCAGCCACACAGAGGCCCCCACAGCACATGTCCTTGAGTGACGCTTGCCAGCATGAAACCAACACACACACCTGTCCTATTCATCCTCACACAGAACAGCTCCTCACCACCTCCGGAACACACCATTCCCCTCTACGTGCTGAAAAGGCATTCAAGGTTCTCCCCTACACCTACCCCTCCAGGCTTAAACCACCTGCCTCACTCTTCTCACAGCCAAAGAAAGTACAAATGTGCAATCCCTCACATTGTAACCCAGCAAGACCCCAAGAAGCCTTCCTGGAACAGGCCTTCCCCCATATCCTCTGCCATAGCTCCCCTCTGAAGGACCCAGACAGCAGTACTGGATGCAAATTTTCCGAGCTGTTTCGCATTTGTGAAAACCCCCACGAAATAGAAAATGTTAAGTACCTGACCACCACAAGCACACAGCCCCAGGCCTCCTGGAACCTAAGGACTTATCTTGCTAACCTCTGTGACACCACCCTGTGACCTCACCATCCGCCAGTCAGAGACCTGTGCTCAAGCTGATCATCCTGGGACCCCTCTCCCCACCAGCCCTTATAGATAGCCAATGGAAACTCAGATTGGGGCTCCACAGTAACCTAGAGGGGTGGGAAAGGCTGGGAGGTGGGAGGGAGACTCACGAGGGAGGAGACATATGTACACCTATGGTTAATTCATGTTGATGTGTTAGGCAGTTAGAATAGGAAAAAGCAGTCCAGAAGGGCGGTGGCTAAAAGACAAAGAAGGGGAAAGCCCAGGAAAACAGAACAAAGGAAGGTCAGAGGACAGGAGTGAGAACCTCAGGTAAAACAAACAGCCCTCCTGGCTAGCCCAATTTACACAGGGTAGCCTCAGGGGGAGGAGAAAAAACATATAAAAAGAGGAGCCAAAATTGGTCTGGCTTCTCTTCACATCTTTAGGGTTAGCCCACCCTCATGACTCAAGGATGTAGTTCCCTTTGCTTTCTAAATAAAACTGAGCTATACCATGGAGCTATAACAAAGGAGGAAACAGAACAGGCTCTGTCTTGGAAGCAGGACTCCATATTGCTGTGGACTTTGAGCTATATGCCCAGTATCTATGGAAATGACATACCAGCTGGAAAACCAGGCCCCCAGAAGGAAGAGCCCTAGGGCTCATACCTAGACTCTGCATTGTCTAAAAGAATACCCTAATAATCTGTGTAACAGAATAGAATCATACATTCTATTACGCTTATTGGCATATGACCACAGGCCTATTGATAACTGTCCACTGTTAACTACCTAGGCTTAAGGCATATGAATCACGGGTTAACTTTGATTGTATCTTTCTTTTCAATTGTTCAGACTAGTTTCAGGAAATTTGGGGAGGTGGGTTTGGGCATGTACACTTAGGGTATATAAGGTTTTCACAAAAACTGGTTGGGGTCCTTGACTAAGAGGAGATTCTACCTTCAGCGTGCTGGTGTAATAAACTGTACTTCACAGTTTATTGTCCTATCTGCATTGTCCTTCTGAATGAATTTGTTTCCCAGAACACGTGGCTACAACAGTAACACTGCTCCCTCCTAGGGCAGTAACACCAGTCCATCCGTAGCTTCAAATTTTTGTTGCAATGAGACAGAACCAAAGAGATTACAAACTCCCCCAAAAGATGCATGACAGAAATCAAGCCAATATTGTAAAGCAATCATCAACCAATTAAATATAAATAAATATAATTTTATATATATATATATTTTTTTTTGCCAAAACCCTTCCAGCTGCTGGAAGCTTTTCAAGGCATGAGCCTCCTTATCTCCCTGCAGGGCCCTGCAGTAAACACTTCCCTGCTCCAGACTCCAACGTGCCAGTGTGTCTGGCCTCACCGTGCATCCAGCACACGGACTTGAGTTAATCACACAGCCAGGTTTGTCCCAGATACATGTTGGCTAAGCAGCTCTCTTGTGCACCTTGGGCACTCCTGGGTGTCCCACTTAACCCTCAGTAAACTCCAAACGCAATCTTGTCCTGACTCCCAGTCCTTCCTTTAGCACCCTATATTCCTGCTCATGCCACCCATGAAGTTCCACCCCCGCTCATTTCACTGGTGACCTAGTAAATGATGACTTAAGGTTATTCGCTGATTATTATCTCTTATTTTTTCCCGACAGATATAGCATTGCTCTATCTCTGGATCTTTGTACTCAGAGAAGATGTTCAATAAACACGGGTCAGTGTTTGTTAACTTCTCCGACTTCTCCAGGCCCCCTGCCAGCTGCGCACCCACCTGCTTCCCGCGCTGTGCCATGCCCACATACCAAGGCCCAGGCCAGAATCCGAGCAGCCAAACACAGCCCAGTTCTCGCCTCTCTGCTCCGCACTGCGGCCACACAGACAGTACCCGGCTCCCTCGCCTCACGGACCCCGCATCTGCCTCCCCCTTGTTCTCCTCTCCAAGGGTCCCAACCTCGATGTGCGTTTATGAAACGCTTGGGGAACTTTTTAATTGTTGGTGCCAGGGCCCCGCAGCCACGGGCATCGCAAATGTTAAACGTCCCCGGGGGATGCACTTGCCCGGAATCTAGGTACACGTCGGGTCCAAGAGACAGAATTGCCAGCTTCCAAATCAGGCAGCTTGGGAAGAAAAAAATAGCAACGGACACGCCCCTGGGGCGCGCAGAGCCCCGTGGACGCCCCACCCCCGCGCGGGCGCGGCCGTCCCGCCCTAGGTGTCGGTCTCCGGGCTAGGCTCGCTCGGGATAAACCCGGAACCTCACGTGGCTGAAGCCAGAGGCGCGGTGTCCGCGGCGGACCAGGCAGGCTTCTCTGCGGCAACTGTCCCTGGTGAGTAGCCAGGGTCTCGGGGTGGCCGGGGACGTGCGAGACCAGTCCGCGGCGTTAAGGTTAATGGGGGTGGGGGCGCTGAGCGTGCGCGTTTGGGGAGACCCGGCGCTGGGTGCAGGGTTCCCGAGGCGCCCACTGCTTCAGGGATCCACGCTCCCCGGTCCCCCCGAGAACCGAGTTGCCAGCCTCCCGCCCCTTCCCAGAGCAGGGCAGGATTCCTCCCGGGTGTCCTCGTCCAGGTGCCCCACTCTCCCCTGTTCCGTGCACCCACCTTGGCCTTGGCTTGTCGCTGTCCCTCTCCAGACCCCCCTGCCCCCGCCACCACCACACACACACACACAATTCACCCCGTACCCCCTTAGCAGAGCAGCACAGCCCTGGCCTGGGAGGCAGGCCTCATCCCGGGTGTCCTCGTCCAGGTGCCCCACTCTCCCCTGTTCCGTGCACCCACCTTGGCCTTAGCTTGTCGCTGTCCCTCTCCAGACCCCCCTGCCCCCGCCACCACCACACACACACACAATTCACCCCGTACCCCCTTAGCAGAGCAGCACAGCCCTGGCCTGGGAGGCAGGCCTCATCCGTTTATGCTGCACCAAGTTAGCTCAGCTTTAGGACTAAGTGGGTAAGCCATGGGATGAAGACACCAAAGAAGTCTTCAGCCTGTTGAAATTTAACACATATGTTCCCTGACTTCCTAAGGAGCAGTCTTTAAACTAAGAGAGAGCCAGACATTTACCTGTGTTCCTCGGTAAAGTTACTATTGGCCTCTTTTTCTGGCATAGCTGAATATCTAATTCATAGGCTAGCTCACCAATCACAGCCCTAGCTGGTATTTATTTTGCTGTCACTATGTGCCTGGCACTCTTCCGGCATATAGTGGTGGGTGTGGATGGGAGCTAAACCTGGCAGCACTCAGATCTAGCCCAACTCCTCTCTTCCACCCTCACCCTCACCCTCTGCCTCCTGGAGAGGGCTGTGCTCCTTGGTACAATGGGGACCTTTTTTCTCCCCTCCAATCTGCTCGGAAGTTTCACAAGGGTTTGTTGTTGTTTAGTCACCAAGTTGTATCCTACTCCAGTTGTGTGCCACCCTACGGACTGAAGCACACCAAGCTCCTCTGTCCGTGGGATTTCCCAGCCAACAATACTGGAGTGTAAATAAAAAAAAAAAAAAATACTGTATTGCTAAAAAATGTTAACCATCATCCTAGGCTTCAGCAAGCTATAGTCCTTTTGCTGGTAAAGAATATTGCATTGATGTTGATGGCTGCTGACTGATCAGTGTGATAGCTGCTGAAGGTTGGGGTGGCTGTGGCAATTTCTTAAAATAAGACAACAATGAAGTTTGGGGGGAAAAAAAGAATACTGGAGTGGCTTGTCATTTCCTTCTCCAGAGGATCTTCCCAACCCAGGGATCGAACCTGCGTCTCCTTCGTTGTAACAGATTATTTTCTGGGAAGTCCTTCATAAGGAGCAGTAGAAATCATTACACTCCTTAATACCAGTGGTGCTAGTGGTAAAGAACCTGCCTGCCAATGCAAGAAACATAAGAATCGAGGATTCGATCCCTGGGTCAGGAAGATCCCCTGGAGGAGGGCATGGCAACCCACTCCAGTATTCTTGCCTGGAGAATCCCATGGACAGAGGAGCCTGGCAGGCTAATAAAGGGCTTCCTGGGTGGAGCTAGTGGTAAAGAACCTGCCTGCCAATGCAGGAGGTGTAAGAGATGTGGGTTTGATCCCTAGATAGGGAAGATCCTCTGGAGGAGGGCATGGCAACCCACTCCAGTATTCTTGCCTGGAGAATCCCATGGACAGAGGAGCCTGGCAGGCTGCAGTCCATGGGGTCACACAGAGTGAGACACGATTGGAGCAACTTAGCGTGCAGCATTCATTAACCTCACATAGCTTCACACCTTCCGTATCTCATACATGTTGGCTTGTACTAATAGAATCCGCCTGTTCAGAGAAGGTAACTGAAACACAAGAGATGCGACAGTTCTCACCAAGGGTGCAGAGAGGTCAGTGGCAGATCCAGATTTCCAACCCACAATCTGTAGACCTCACTACCTGTGCCAGTACCCCGCAGACACCCTAAACCCCCAAATGAGGGGGACCTCAGGAGGCCCCTCTCTAGAGAACCTGGGAAGCATCTGCTGGGTTGGGTTAAGAAGCGGCTTGTCCTAGAGCTTGTGTCACACCGGCATGGAGACGAGGGAAAGCTGAAGTCTAGAACCCCTGAAACGAATAACTTTCACGTCAACCAGGAGAGTGGTGAGGCTTCCAGCTTTCTTCATGGTGCTGGAGACACTGAGGAAGAGGTGGACCATTGTCCCCGTGGCGAGGACATACATCATGGTGTCCCTGAAAGGAGTTGTGCAAAACCGGCAGGTGTGGGTTTTCTCACAGAAGGAGTGTGCACGGTGCCGAGGCTGCCGCCTGGGGAGGGTGCCCAAGGTGTGGCATCCCTGTGGGAAGTCTGACCCTCTTCCTTCAGATCTGAAGGAATCCATCCCCTAACAGTGTGTTTAAAATGAGACTCTGAAGACCACTGTTCACCCATTAAGCTACCTTCTCTCCAAGCCCTGTGGGCCTGGGAGAGTTTATCAATCATCCAGAAGCAAAGATGACAGAGAATCTGAGAGCCACTTCATCCAAAGTGTGGTAAAGCCAAGTGCTCCACAGCAGGAAGCACTCCCTGGTGGACCAGAACATCCCGCTCCCCCACCCCCACCCCCACCAGCATGCCTATTCCCTGGACACAGAGAGCAAACCTACCTCAAGGCTCACACTCTTCCATCCCTGTGTTGGGCAAGCCGCTCCCAAGCCCTCCCTTGCCCGGTTTATCATTTGCATGTCCAATCAAAGGTCACTTTCCACAGACCTCCCCTGTTGCCTCCTCCATTGACTCCCATCTAAAGCAGGTCTCCTGGCTGCTCTCTAGAGTGCCCCCCACACACATTTTTCTTTATAACACTGCAGCACGTACTGGTGTATTCATTCCTTCATTAGACTCTTATCTCCCCAGGGCAGAGATTATGGGATGCTGCCCACGCACTCAGCCCCAGGGCCCAGCATTGTACCTGCATAGAATCCACACCCAGGAAATGTGACAATGAGCTCACCTGGCCTGAACAAACTAGACAGGGATCCTGGCTAAGCCACACACATATTCTTTCTGGTTCTTGGTCCCATCTACGCATGCGTGCATGCTCATTCAGTTGTGTCCGACTCTTTGCAACCTCATGGACTATAACCTGCCAGGCTCCATCTGTACAAAGAGCCAAAAAGCAACAATTTAGTTTGCTACTTCCTAAGGGTCTGACCACACTTCAAGCCATCCTTTAATAAATCTATGAGAACTGGTGTGTCCTCAGTCAAGCTTCAAAGTCAGTGTGGAACTGCTTCACTTCACTAATGAAGTCCATCTTCTGTCCTCACGTCCAACTCTCAGCTGGCCACCCCATTCAGGGAAACCCCCACCCACAGCATAGTATGCCCCTTCTCTCCTCATCTGGAGGAAATAAGACATTCCCTTCTTTCTCAGGTGCTTGTTTGGAAAGCATCTTATAAGCTTCTTCTCACTAAAGTGTGAATGACTGATAGGATGAAGGCACTGAGCCCTGTATAAGTTTGCCTTTTATTCATTCAGCAAACATATTGGGTACCTTCCTGTGGGCAGTGCTGTGAGTCTGAGAAACAAGCTAACAGCATAAAACACTAGAGCTGCGAGCCAGCATTGTGGTCACGCATGCACAATCATTCTCATCCTATTTGCAAAACCACCCTAGACCACAGCACCAGGAAGTGAGGAGACTGAGGCCCAGAGAGGCTGTGTGGTCTGCCACAGGCTCCACAGCCAGACAGGCGCAGGGCCTAGCTATCTCACCCTCTCCCCAGATGTCGTACAATTGCAGGGCCGAGTAGTAAGGGATGTGGCGTGGGAGCCTCAGAGCCTGGGAAATGCATACCCTGTGCTGACAGCAAGTTGTAGCAGCCAAGGTTTAGAATGTCTAATTACTCCTCTTCAGGTACATTAATACAAGCAGGATTTCACATTTTCCTCTTGAATCTCAAATTTTAAAGAACAACAGTGCAATGAGAAAACAGAAACCTCAAAGGAGGCAAAAAATAAAACCAGAAAGGAGCAGTTGTGTCATCAACACAATAGGGTCAAGACCTTGAAGGTGAAATCAACCTACAGGACTTATTATGGAGAAAAGCTAGCTACGAGAAAGTGAGCTTCTGCTTTGGGTTAAATGTAGCCGTGGTTACAGTTTCTGGGTAATGAGCATTTCTGTCACCTGGAACACATAACAGACATGCGGGGATGTGATGAGCTCGGCACTGTGATGCAAGTTGGTCGAGATGGTCCCTGTGGACCCCGTCCCCCCTTTCTCAGTCCAGAGTCTGCTACCAACAAGGATGTTTCCATGACGATTCTTAGTTTCTTTCACTTCTGCAAGGAAGTATGGGCCCCATGGAATAAGGTCCTTACGTGAGTCCCTCTTGCTTTATAGGTGTCAGCCAGAACATGGCACTCAAGCTGAAGTCAGCCAAGAAATTGTTCGCTTTCTTAGGAAAATCATTGTTGGCTCTTGTGGAGACTGTAGTTTTTACTATAATCCCAAAGCCACGGAAGAATGTTGCTGGTGAAATCGTACTTATAACAGGTGCTGGAAGTGGACTCGGAAGGCTCCTAGCCCTCAAATTCGCCCAGCTTGGGTCGGTGCTTGTGCTCTGGGATATCAATCAGGAGAGTAATGAGGAGACCTGCAAGATGGCTGGGGAAGCTGGAGCCAGGAGGGTCTATGCCTATACCTGTGACTGCAGCCAGAAGGAGGAGGTGTATAGAGTGGCCACTCAGGTAAACCTTACTTCCTATGGGCAGTAAGGACTTGATGTAGTCTCTGACGTCCATCAGTTTCTCTATTTGCCTTCCTCTGCTAATTTGCCTCTCTTTAAAAAATATCAGGGCATGGGAGTTAGCATTTTTGAGTCTTGCTATGTGCCACACACCATGCTTGGCACCCTCTGAATTATACTCCTATAAAGTCAGGCCTGTTATTATCTCCACTTCACAAATAAGAAAATGGAGACTTAGTGCAGGTGAGTTTCTCGGGTGACTTACCTGACAAGTGCAGGTAATAAGTAGCAGAGCTGCAGGTGGGACGCGAGTCTCTTGACTCTGAAGAACGCCCTCTAGCCAGCTCATGTGCTGGTTGTCTGGGCCCCCCGTTACCGTGTACGAGAAAGGCCATAGCACCTTTCATGGAGGCATAACAAAAACTGGTAAACAGGGCTATAAATAACCTGCTGGGAGTCAGAGAGCTAGGGGATGACCATGCCAGGAGGTGAACCTGTATCTAGTCTGATCGCAAGTCCAACTGTTTCCCCCACCCCCAACAGTCATTTCCATTCAACCTGCATTTCCCTCACGTGGTCATATGAAAAGCAAATATTTTATTCATCCTAAAGACTCTTAACTGCAGCTGCCCCTTTGGTGACGGTAGAGAAGTATGTATAAAGAACACTTTAAGGAGCCCGGGGCTCCAGTGGACTCGCAGAGCCCGAGGAGGCACATGCCCATGTGGTGGCCGCTCCCTCTTCCCTCACAAGGATTTCTCTGCCCGCTCGTTGCACAAGCATTGCACACAGCACTCTCCTGGACCACTTTTTTTGTGGCTCTCAGAGTTCCCTGGTTTCGGGAGAAGGAAGAAAGTAGATGTGCCTGCTGGAAGGTTCCTGCCCAGCGTGTAGGCTCTAACCGGGCTCTGCTTGCAGCTTCTCATCTGACTCCCCAGTGGAGGGGTGTGCAGGTCTCTGGCCAGTGAGTTTCTTTTAAGTTGTGACTTTTGTCTTTACATCTTATACATCCGTTACCACCACCATCACCAATCTCAGGCTGCCTGGCAAGTCTGGGGATCCAGACCAGACAAGCTGGCATGGGCTTGTGTGGGGACCACCTTTCAAAGTACAGGAGGGTCTGCTGCAGCTACTTTTGCAAACTAAGCTCTTTGCACTTGTAACACAATCTCCTGCCAGGTTGACTTCCCCAGCTATGAGCCACTTCTCTGGCTATGAGCCAGTCTTAAAGCGGTGACTGGTTCACGTTTAAAGACACAAGACCTTAAGACATTCATACTATAAACCAGCCATTTCTACCTCTTGTTCTTGACAGAGGAAAGGTAAGCAGGAAATTTTTATCCCATAGAGGAATAATCAAGGTGCAAACTTTTAGAGCTGATATGACAGTATTTTATTTCCACAGACCCCAGTAACTTCGAAATCTTGTGTCCCTAGATCATAGCTTGGGACTAAGTTCAGAAAGTTCATCCTTGCCACCTGGCATCCTGGTTGAGTCATTTATTGTTCAGAATCACACAGCCCTGTTCAGCATGTGATTTTGCCCTGGGAAGAATGCCTTGACTGCTGTTCAGCTTTGATTTGACTAAATATTCTAGCCACTCTCCATATCAGACTTCAAGTTAGATTGTTTCCAGCACTTCTATCTGAACATTTCAACATGAAACGTGCGGTTTCCTTGGCCTGCATTGCAATTCCCAGTTTCCCCGAGGCTAGGGATCTCATCGGCTAGTGGATACCAAGCACGTTCCTTACTGGTGATCATGCCTTCTGGGAGAGTGCATAAGGAGAGTGGCAGTGTCGGCTCGTCAGTAACCCAGCCTCCCTCTCCAGAGCTGCATCGCCCACACAGACAGGTTCACACCCACATCTGCACACCCACACGAGTGTGCACACAACACACAGAGCCAGAGCCAGATGTAAGTGGTGCTGCAGCCAGGGGTTCCCTCTAATTCGGGGGGAACAGGGCCCCTGCTATGTGATACAAATTACAGGAATGAAATTCAAAACACAAAGGCACACCAAGGGACGGCCCCACCGCCTGCCATCAAGCCTGGAAAACCCTGTGCTAAAAAAAATCTGACAAAGAGCCTGGGTCACTTGCTGACTGTTTGCTCTAAAGGGAAAGCTCCAGTGGCACTCCCAGGATTTTTATTTCTTAAAGGAAAGTTATTAAGTATCTAGTCTGGTCAGTGCCAGTGCCACAGCAGCAGATGGCGGCCCCTCTGATCCTCCCTTCACAGACCTTACACCTAAATGTTGCTGTTGGGGGGGAGAACCAGCCAAGAGGTGAAAACAGGATGGACAGGTTCTGAGCTCCTGTGTGTCTGAAACATCCATATGACGATCATACTCCCTCCGTTCCCTCCCTGCCCCAGCCCTGTTGCTACAAGTGGCAGGGCTTGATTTACATGGCATGGTATCATGCCTGATATATCACCACATCCATTTAAAGGCCGCGCTGCTCATACTTCATTTTAGCATAGGACAGTCACTAACCATGTCACTACTGAGTACGAGAATAACTCTCCCTGTAGGAAAGGAGCATTACAGGTGTTGGAAAACCATCATAAGAAGAGGGGAAGATGAGTAGAAAGGCATTAGACTTAGATCTCTGATGTGCCATGAACTCTGCAAAGGACATAGACACGCTTTGTTTTTAGAGTGCCTTGCAGCAGCAACTCAGTCTGAGTTAACAAGGACAGAAGCATCTGAAACCACAGGAAAATAAATCCAGTTCATGTAAAAGAATTATGGATGCACCTCATTTTATGGCACTTCACAGATACTGCATTTTTTTTCTACCATCTGAAGATTTCTTTTGCAAATTGAACATTTGTGGCAATCCTGCCTTAAGCAACTCTTAATGGCACCCTTCTTTCGACAGCATTTGCTCACTTCGTGTCTCAGCATCACATTGTTTCTCAAAATACTTCACACTTTCATTATTATATTTGCTCTGGGTGGTCTGTCATCAGTGATCTTAGTTACTGCAGATCAGTCAAGGCTTAAATGATGGTCTGGAACTGAACCCGTGTATCTCCGGGGCCTGCCTGTTCTGCCCTGGTGGTGCTGATTTCCTTATTCAATTCAGGTGAAGAAAGAAGTTGGTGATGTTTCCATCCTGATCAACAATGCCGGAATTGTAACAGGCAGGAATTTCATGGACTGCCCAGACGAGCTTATAGAAAAGTCTCTTGACGTGAATTTCAAAGCACATATATGGGTAAGTATTTTTTCTTCTCATTATAAACGTCATTCCCAGGTGGCGCTAGTGGTGAAGAACTCACCTGCCAGTGCAGGAGACATAAGAGATGTGGGTTAGATCCCTGGGTCAGGAAGATCCCTGGAGAAGGAAATAGCATCCCACTCCAATATTCTTGCCTGGAGAATCCCAAGGACAGAGGAGCCTGGTGGGCTACAGTCCATGGGGCCGCAAAGAGTTGGGCATGACTGAAGCGACTTAGACTTCCTCTTGTTCTCTTACAGTAGTGAAAGTGTTAGTCGCTCTGTCTGACTCTTTGCCAGGCTCCTCTGTCCATGGGGATTCTCCAGGCAAGAATACCAGAGTGAGTTGCCATTCTCTTCTCCAGGGGATCTTTCTGACCCAGAGATTGAACCCGGGTCTTCTGCATTGCAGGCGGATTCTTTACCATCAGGGTGGGCTCTTCCAGCAGTACTGGTCTTAAATAAAGCACAGACTTCTCAGTTCTAGCTCAAGCTGTCCTCTCCTGATCCAACTTAAGCTCTACCTCCCCACACCTCTGCTCAGAGAATCCTGCAAGGACACAGCTGCCCTGTGTCCTAATCATGTACTGATGGCCAGCGTCCTGTCTGGTACCATCCCAGGCCCCTCATAGATAAGGCTTCAGACAGCCCAGTGAGATAAGGGCTCATGGAAGTTAAAAGTGACCGTGCTTAGACATGACCAGGTGACCTCATCATTTTGCCTAGGCAGGAACTCCCTTGAAGTGAAAGGAGGCATAATTAATAAGCAAACATCCACCAGGTCTGTTTGGGGGCACATTAAGATGCACACTCAACTTTGTTGTTGCTGTTCATTTGCTAAGCCATGTCTGACTCTGCAGCTCCATGAACTGCAACACTCCAGGCTTTTCTGTCCTTCATTATCTCCCAGAGTTTGCTTGAACTCATGTCCATTGATTGAGTGATTTCATCCAACTATCTGATCTCCTCTCGCCCCCTTCTCCTCCTGCCTTCAATCTTTCCCGATATCAGGGTCTTTTCCAGTGAGTCAACTCTTCACAACAGGTCCCCAAAGTATTGAAACTTCAGCTTCAGCATCAGTTCTTCCAATTCATATTCAGGGTTGATGACCTTTAGGATTGATTGGATGAATCAAGGACAGCACAGAGATCCTTTAGGACTCTCAAGAGTCTTCTCCAGCACCAGAGTTCAAAAGCATCAATTGTTCAGCCCTCAGCCTTCTTTTTGATCCAGCTCTTATGTCCATACATGCCTACTGGAAAATCCATAGCTTTAGCCATGTGGACCTTTGTTAGCAAAGTAATGTCTCTCCCTTTCAATATGCTGTCTAGGTTTGTCATAGCTTTTCTTCCAGGGACAGCGTGCCCACCAGCAGCCTGATAACTACGTGCCTTGAACATTAAAAGGCATGGTCCTGACTCGCAAGGAAAGGTGCCCACACTCATGTTGCATTGTCCTAGCCTTTGCACAGACCAGTCACATCAGCCTTTCCAGCCATGCACATGCCCTCGTTCTGCCCCTCCTGGCTCTTGCTCACAACCACATCTCCCTGACAGGCAGATGAGTTTAAAAACAAAGTGATATTTTTAAACTGAAACCAACAGCCACATGTCCTGTGAACAAAGTTCAGGAAAAATTTGAAATTCAAATATAAGCCAAGGGAGGAAAAAAGACACCATAAATCTAAATAACCATATCTCTGAGTGGTCTTACTGGTTTGTGGACTGTGGATGCCACAATTAAGACTTTCCTGTACTGTTCCAATTGTTTTTGTTGTGTTTTTAAAAGTCAAATATGAGCAAATGTAAGTTTGAGTAAATTATTTTTAATAATTGAAATTCCAATTGAAATACTGGAATAACCACCAGCAAAATATTGATCCACAGTTTAAACAAGTTCAGATGGTTACTTGCCAGATATTTAAGTGTGAATGTCCCATTTCCTTCCCTTTTTTTGAACTTGAACAACTTTTTTCAATCATGATGATTGCATAAACATCTGGAAAAAAATACAGTGTGCTATAAAATGTTAAACATTTTACCTTGATCTTCTTAGACTTATAAAGCCTTTCTACCTGCTATGATTGCTAATGACCATGGACATTTGGTGTGCATTTCAAGTTCAGCTGGATTAATTGGAGTAAATGGACTGGCAGGTAAGAGAAATATGGTATTTCACAACCGCAGCTTGAGCAATAGCTCTGAATAATCAGCACTGACTTGGTGCACTAATAATAAATGGTAATAGTTGAAGACATATATTCAGTAAGGTAAGATGTTGAGAACTTTATCAGCCAGCAAAACTGCCCAGCTGCTATACTTACACGAAGTTGAACTGTGCACTTTAGAATCATTATGTCTTATGCAATCCCCTGGGATTAATAAAAGACCTAGCTGGGTGGGATAAGGAGGTGAGAGAGAGGCTCAGGAGAGAGGGAGTATACATATACTTATAGCTGATTCATGTTGTTGTATAGGAGAAACTAACACAACATTGTAAAGCAATTATCCTCTGATTTAAAAAAAAAGAAAGAGACCCTACTTATATATTCCTTACACCAGTGATCAGCATAGTCACCTTCCCCCAAACTCACCTGGCACTGTCATCAGGGGGTTGAGAAGGACCCTTCTGGGAATTCCTTAATGGTCCAGTGAATGAAAATCTTCTTTCCAATGCAGGGGGTGCAGGTTCATCCCTGGTCAGGGAACTAAGATCTCATATGCTGTTTAGTCGCTCAGTCATGTCTGACTCTTTGCAACCCCCTGGACCACAGCACACCAGGCTTCCTTGTCCTCCACAGATTCCCAGAGTTTACCCAAACTCATGGCCATTGAGTCGATGATGCCATCTAACCATCTCATCCTCTGTCACCCCCTCAATCTTTCCCAGCATCAGGGTCTTTTCCAGTGAGTCAGCTCTTCGCATCATGTGCCCTAAGTATTGGAGTTTCAGCTACAGCATCAGTATTTCCAGTGCATATTCAGGGTTGATTTCCTTTAGTATTGACTGGTTTGATATCCTTGCTGCCCAAGGGACTCTCAAGAGTCTTTTCAGGGCAACTAGGCCCATGCATGCTCTAGAGCCTGTGCTCCACAACTAGGGAAGCCCTCACACACTGCAAGCAGAGAAAGCCTGCACACTACAATGGAGACCCGGCGCAGCCAAAAAAAGAGAGGCCCCTTCTGCTCTATGAATTTTCCATTAAGTGGTCTCCCCTGGCTGGGAACTTGGAGAAAATGTCTTCACCCAGGGAAACCTAAAATTAACTTTCTTTTGCTGTTCCACTGGTTGGATACTGGCAGGTATTTGTTGTCACTTCCATGTCCCTTGCAACTGACTTGATGTTAGCAGTGGGGAGGAGATAAGACATACAAGAAGATCTTCGGTGAAGAGGACCCACTGGGGAGCTGGCTCTAGGAAGTCCTGTCCTTCCCCCACCCCCAGGGTGTCCCCTGGAGGCTCATCCATCAGAACCCTAATTGGAACACTCAGGTAGCAGACCAGCAAGCTGGCTGACTGACAGCTGGTTCCAGATTCACAGCACTGGTCTCAGCAAGTACCTCTCAGCTGCCGGATAGGTTTCCAGAACCACTTGTCACCCCAATATTAGCCGTCTGTACACGTCTCCCTGTAGCCTGGGTCTCCCTGCCTCTGTCCTCCTCAGAATCCATCAGGCATTATTATTACCCCTCTCTCTCATACATCTGAGAAGTCACAGGTCCTTGACATAACACAGGTGTATTTACAGCTCCTGTTAATCCTTTTGTTAGACACAGCATCTCTCTCTTCAGATGCAGGTCTCTCCTCCCTGGCTCCCTTAGAAACAAGTTTTCCTGGGGCAGCAACTCCCTGGAATCAGAACCTCTGGGGCTGCTACTTGGAATGCAGGTTCCCTCGCCCTGGGCTGTACCCACTCATCCCAGTCATCTTCCAGGCAGAGCAGACCAAAATCAAGCAAAACAAGATCTCTGAAATGGTTTGTCTCTGCCAGTATTCATGTTACAAGGAAATCTTCCTATAATGCCATTTTAAAACTTTACACTATATAATAGTATCATTTGTCTTTTCAGATTACTGTGCAAGTAAATTTGCAGCCAATGGATTTGCTGAATCGATGTTTTTAGAAACATTTGCCAAGGGACAGAAGGGGATCAAAACGACTATCGTGTGTCCATTTTTTATAAAAACCGGAATGTTTGACGGATGTACTACTGGGTAAGCATGTCATTTGATTTCAAAGGAACTGTATTTTGAAAAATGATTGACCATCGATTTTATTTTGTTCTGGCTAACGTTGTTTGAAAAGACTTTTCCAGCATTCAGCCTACTTTATAAACGGTTTTAGAATTTATTTCCTTAGATTAGATTAGTGATTAAGACACTGGGTTTAATAGTGACGGTTTAAGGCTTGAAGAAGGAAATGGCAACCCACTCCAGTTTTCTCGCAGGGAAAATCTCATGGACAGAACAGCCTGGTGGGCTGCAGTCCATGGAGTCGAAAAGAGTCAGACACAGCGGAGCATGAACACAGCACACAAACATCAAGGCTATATCCACGTCTTCAAGGCCACCCTGTGGCCTCAACCTGCTCCCCCATCTCCTTGGCGCTCCTGTCACACACCCCCTTTCTGCCACCAGCTCTACCCTGCTCTCACCCCTGATTCCACAGAAGGACGAGAAGCTGATGAAGAGGCCTAAATACCCAGTCTGCACTTGTCAGATGACAGGGAGTTACTTTTCAAAGATGCGCTTTGCAACATTTAGGCCATTTGCTTAATGTGGTTTCACACATGTGCCTATTATAACATCATTGTATTAATTAGAATCCCTGTTTTCCACTTCAAATTCTAGTTATGTTATTACTCACCATATTGATAATAAGAGAGCAAATATAGAAAAATATCCAATCTGGAAGGAAAAGAAGGCAATAAATGATAATGTCTTGTGTGTGCATGCTTGCTAAGTCACTTCAGTCGTGTCTGACTCTTGTGACCCTATAGACCATAGCCTGCCAGGCTCCTCTGTCCATGGGATTCTCTAGGCAAGAATACTGACTGGAGTGGGTTGCGATTTCCTCCTCCAGGGGAATCTTCCCGACCCAGGATGGAACCCACGTCTCATGTTTCCTGCATTGGCAGGCAGGTTCAATACCACTAGTTCCACCTAGGAAGCTTACAACTGTTTTATTGTAATTTTTATCCCCACCGCCCCGCCACTACCACCACCAGCTGTCCTTCTCTCTTACCGATTCTGGAACCAGAATATGCAGTCAGGAAGATAGTAGATGCTATCCTGCAAGAAAACCTGTACCTGTATATGCCCAAGTTTATATACTTCACAGTGTTTTTAAAAAGGTAATGTTTCTGCTCCTATTAATTCTCAACGTGCCAGTCCAGTCAACAGCTTACTCCAGAGCCAACAAAGAGCAGCCATTTAAAAGATGACTGGGGGAGGGGGAGATAACTGTTATTTATTTATTTTATTTTTGCTGTGTGGGCGTTTCTCTAGTTGCAGTGAGTGGGGACTACTCTGTAGTTGTGGTGAGCAGGCTTCCCACTGCAGCGACTTTTCCTGTTGTGGAGCAAGGGCTCTAGGATGCATCCTGATGTAAGTGTCAGGGTGGCCACATGGAGAAGATAATGTTTGACCAGAGACCTGAAACTGGGAAGGGCAGGGATCCCCTGGATATCTCGGGCTGCCCCCAGAGAGACCATGAGCCCAGGGCCCTTTTCTTGTCCCCACACCTAGGACAAGTCTTCGGTTGGCTGACTGTGCCCTTTCTCGTCCTGCGGTGTGAACGTCATGATGGACAGGGTCAGAGTGTCAGGAGGGGCGAGTGGGATGGAGAAGATGGACAGTCTTAGTTGGGTCTTGCCAAAGCTCTGAGGAGCTATTGCATGGACTTCTGTCAGTTGTCCAGGAAAGAAAGGTCAGTGACCTCTTTGGACAGTGGGAGGAACTGATTGTTCCTCAATCACAGCCCAGTAGCACTGTGAGCAACAGAGCGAGGTTGCAAGGCAGGATCAAGACTCTTCAAGGCTGCACGCTTCCTGTCCATCATTACAGAATGTAGTCAGGCCTTGAGACTGACACGGAAGTGAGTGAATAAGGTAAATAAAGCAAAGAGAGACACAGAGACCCTGGGCCAGTGTCATCCCACGTGGTGGATGAGCCCCGAGTCACCCACGACAGGGACGTTCAGGTGGGCACGAGTGACTCACATCTTCTGCAGCAAGTCAATGGCCCTGCTTTTCAGTGGCGCTCGTAAAGATGTTCCATGAATGATAACCAAGATGTTCCCTCTTGTGTTCTCTTTAGCTTCTTGCCCATCAAGCTGGGGCTGCTTTTGGGTGAGTACCTGGGGACCTTTAATGTAATGAATGGCTTCACTGGCTCCAGGAAGAAAACCTGAAGACTGCTTCTGTGGCTGACATACCCACAGTTACACAACATCTCTTTCAATGAAGAAGTGTCTTTGTTGACAGAATGTACCTGGAGACCACAAGCACAGTTCTTCATCTGCTATTTGCAACCAGTGCCTCTGAAAATAATATTGAGCTCTGCTTTTCTGTTAAGTTTTTTAAATTTAAAAAAAAAAAAGTCCATTTTTGTTGTTTGCTTGCAACTGCTGTGGAAGTGATTGTTGTTGTTGTTGTTTTAGTTACTATATCACATCCGACCTTTTGTGACCCCATGTGTGGACGTGAGATAATCCTCTCTCTCTTGTGAATTGCCCATCATTTTGGTCGAGTGTCTGTGGCTGAACTTGCACTGGACAGGGGAAGTGAGGGCTGAGAAGAAGCCTGAGTGCCTGCGGAGGTGGGGTGTCCTGAGGACACAGAGCTCTGGGTTCCCCATCACCTTGTTCTCAGACTTGGCCTTGTTGAAACTGTGCCATCTGGCACAGAAAGGTCAGCCTCCCACATCATCGTCACACAGATGCTCGTCCTCCTCCCCACAAAGATGCTTGTTTCTACAGCCCTGGGTATTCAGAGAGCAATTGCCAGACCTGCTGAAGGCTCCCCAGGGGCACTGTGTCGGGGAGCTTTCCTGCACATTCCTGTATAACCAAGGGCCAGTGATACTGGCGTGCGTGCTAAGTCAGTTCAGTTGTGTCCTACTCTTTTGCGACCGCATGGACTGTAGCCCACCAGGCTCCTCTGCCCGTGAGATTCTCCAGGCAAGAATACTGGAGTAGGATCGCCATGCCCTCCTCCAGGGGATCTTCCTGACCCAGGGATTGAACCTGCATCTCTTACATCTCCTGCACTGGCAGGTGGGTTCTTTAGCACTAGTGTCATCTGGGAAGTCCCAGTGATCCTAGACCAAACTTTAAATAGGATCACATTGCTTTCCTAGAAGATACCAAAGAGTGGTTGCTTATGACACTGAAGAAATGATCTCCTCCAGAGTTAGATGAACTGTTACCTATTAAACCAGAAACCATTCCAGTGGGTAATTTCAAGTGTTTCATTTAGTAGTTCAAACTGGGTTTCTCGTAAGGTACTTTTTTTTTTTTTACAGAAGGAACAAATTTATCCATTTATATTCATCAGGGCTGCCTTCATTTCAGATGTATTGCATGCTTAGGGTTTAATCAACTGGCCAACTCTTTTCACGCTTTGGAGATAAACTATAAAAACAAGATTAAAAGAAATATGTTAATTACCATAGCCCCAGAGCTCCTTCCCTGGGTGGGTGGAAGCGCCTGCCTTGCGAGAGAAACAGCAGCCTTTGTCTCCTATCTGTCACTGGAGAGTGAGGACAGGGGAGGAGGACCTTGGGAGTCCCTGTGAGAGTCATTTCGGGGTAAGACGCTCTTAGAGGGGCGGCCATCTCAGGAAATGTGGCGTCTAGAATCCATTCTGGACTGATTTCTCCTGAGCCGCCTGTAGGATTCTGACAACTCTGCCCCTGTATTTCCTTTCCCTTCAGAAAGCCTTTTTTAAAACCTCATTTTTCATAAAATTAGCCCACAAAGACATTTGAAAATATGTTTTCTTTTTGCAAAAATGGGTGATTATTTTCAGTATTTTAAAGCAACTGTATCTTCCTTGTTTAAAATACTTTGTTTGGGCTTCCCAGGAGGCACTAGTGGTAAAGAATCCACCTGACAATGCAGGAGATGCAAGAGATGTGGATTCAGTCCCTGGGATAGGAAGATCCCCTGGAGAAAGAAATGGCAACCCGCTCCAGTATTCTTGCCTGGGAAATTCCATGGACAGAGGAGCCTGGTGGGCTAGAGTCCATGGGGTTGCACAGAGTTGGACCCGACTGAGCGCACACAGACATATGTCAGTGATTATATAAACTGCAGAAGTGCTGGGCTAAAATATTATGTTTTTTACTGTTTTTTTTGGAGAAGAAGAAAATTAACAAAGTAAGGATTTTGCAAAAATATAGGCCTTAACAATATAAGTATTACGTATTTTTAAAAAACTTATTTTATGATCATAAAAACAGTAGCTCATATTTGTCATGCCTGGCACAAAGCTTGCCACTTTACACACACGATTTCATTAAATGAGAATCATAAAGGTATCTGGTGGATGCTGAAGAAGAAATACCATTTATTTCACAAGGGTGACATCCTCCTCAACCAGAGACCTGCATTCAGAGGATCAAAGACCCACTTAACATCGACCAACTCCTGTGCCAAATCCTTGGCTAACAAGGTTAATTAAGAGTGAGGCACAATATTGCTCCCATATTACGATTCCGAACACGTAGATTCTAGGGGTCTGTTTCTTTAACTGAAGAATAAAGAAGAGACTCTACGGGGATTTTGTAGAACAAGGGTCTGGGGCATAGCAGACACCCACCACCTCGTAACAGCATTAACAGCAATTATTTCTAATTGGAGTGCATCTTGGCTGGAAGACTACAGAGTCCCGAAATTCAATTGTGGTTTTACAGTACCCATACAATTGTCTAAATGAATTTGGATCTACTCGAAGTACTCAGAGGAGAAGAGACAACATGTAAATTAGAGAATTCTAGAAAAAATACCAAGGTGATTTAACACCTCCGGGTAACAAGCATCCTCAGAGAGTGTTTCCTGGCAGTTTCCATCTGAAATTTAATCCTAATGAAGCCACGATCAAGAGCCCAACACCCAAAGAGGGCTCAAGACTCAAAAGGCTGGAGACAAGAGCTGTCCCCAGGAGTGGGCACCCTGCCCTCCAGGTTGCGTCACCTCACATCCTACAGTCAGCATACCGCTCAAGAATGAGGAAGAACTCTTGATCTTGGAAGGAGTTTGGCTGGGCAAGATATGTATGACCTTGGTTTTGGGACAGCTTTTTGGCTTTTTTTTTTTTTCAATCATCTTAATGTTTACTTTTATTTTTTATTTGTTTGGCTGTGGTGGATCTTTAGTTGAGACATGTGAGATCTAGTTCCCTGACCAAGAATCAAACTCCAGCCCCCTGCACTGGGAGCATGGAGTCTTACCCAATGGGCCACCAGGGTGGTTTGGCGTTTACATTGTGATGCTGTATTAGTCAGCTCAGATTGGGCCACCATGACAAAATAGCAGAGACTGAAGGGCTTAAATAACAGACACTTATTGGCTGAAAGGCCAAGATCAAGGCGCTGCTGGGTGCAGTTTTGGTGAAGGCTCTTCCTGGCATGCAGTCTCACTGTCCTCACATGGCCTTCCCCTGTGTGTGATCACTGAGAGAGAGATCATGCTCTTCCTATAAGGGCACTAATGCTATCATGAGGGCCCAACCCTCACAATCTAATTGATCCTACTTACCTCCCCAAGGCTCCATCTCCACATATCATCACACTAGGAATTAGGGTTTCCAACACCGCATGCTATTGGCCAGAATTAGTCACATGACTGAACTAGCCTGCAATGGAGGCTGAGTGTGTTCCCTGACTTGCACTGCAAGAGCTAGCTAAACATCAGGGGTTATAGCACTATGGAAAAAGATAAAGACACCTGTTGATGTCAACTTATAGCTCTGTCACAGTCTGCTTCCCCAAATGGCTATGTATCCTCTTCTCAGATGGAAACCACAGACCCACTCTGCCTTCAAAACCTTCCCACTCTGCATCTCAGGCAAAGTCCAGGACATTTGGACCAGGGCAGCACTCTGCATCAGGTCCAGAAATGAATCTTCTCAGTCTGATGACCAAGAAGGTAGAAGGTGATATTTGCTGCCATGCTGGATTCTATGGTCTAGAAGACAAGCTTTAATGGGAGCTGCTAGGGAAAGACTTAGGACCACAGTATTACCTCTGCTAAGGCCACTGTCTAATCCACACTTCCCAGGACTTCTCATCAGACACAGAGGGTGCTGGCTGCTTCAACCTGCAGGCTCTGCTCTGCAGGTAGAGAGGGCCTCTGGGAATAGACTTTCATCCTCTTAAACCTCCACTTGCACATGGATGCTCTCCAGTCATCAATTCCAGAAGACTGCTGAAAGCAGCAGAAACATCCAAATTGTAGCAAAGTTTTGAATTTGTCTTAGCTTTCCCCCTCACACTGCAGTCTCCTTTAGTAGGTGACAGAGCTTTCAAGGTAGAGTAAGGTCAATGTGAACACAATGTTCTATGCCAGACAAGGATCACCAAATTTCTAGTCCATATGATTATGAGCCCTTGCCACCTCCCACCTGAGAACTTGAACTTACATCACATATTTTCATCTCTGCCATACACAGCATTGCTCAACATGGTATTGAGTTATCGTTTGTTGTTCAGTTGCTAAATCATGTCCAACTCTTTGTGACCCCATGGACTGCAGCACACCAGGCTTCCCTGTCCTTCACTCTCTCCCAGAGTTTGCTCAAATTTATGTCCATTGAGTCAGTGATGCTATCCAACCATCTCATTCTTTGTGGTCCTCTTCTCTTCTCACCCTCAATCTTTCCCAGCATCAGGGTCTCTTCCAATGAGTTGGGTCTTCTCCAATGAGTCGGCTCTTTGCATCATGGACAAAGTATTAGAGCTTCAGTTTTAGCATCAGTCCTTCCCATGAATATTCAGTGTTTATTTCCTTTAGGATTGACTGGTTTGATCTCCCTACTGTCCAAGAGACTCTCAAGAGTCTTCTCCAGCACTAAAATTCAAAAGCATCAGTTCTTCGGCCCTCAGTCTTCTTTATGGTCCAACTCTCACATCTGTACATGACTAAAAGAAAAACCATAGCTTTGACTAGATGGACATTTGTCAGCAAAGTGATGTCTCTGCTTTTTAATATGCTATCTAGGTTTGTCATAGATTTTCCTCCTAGGACCAAGGTATTGAGTTATAGATTAGTTTAAAAACAAGGTCAGTAACCCAGGGATTCAACCCACATCTCCTACGTCTCCTGCATTGGCAGGTGGGTTCTTTACCACTAGCACCCCATGGGAAGCCCACTGGAGTGGGTAGCCATTCCTTTCTCCAGGGGATCTTCCCAAACCAGGGATCAAACTCGGGTCCTACATTGCAGGCATTTTCTTTACCATCTGAGCCACCAAGGAAGCCTATCAGTGGTTTAGATAATTCTAAAGTTTGAAAACAAAACTTCTTTGTAAGTTGATTGTTAAATTTTTAGGAATTCATCTTTCACATTTATTTCCTAGATGCTTTATGAGAAAAAAATT